TGAAATAGGTTGAGAATTACAGGACTCATAGAAGAAGCAGCATACCTACAAGTCTAACTTCTGTTAAATATCCTATGCCTCCCACAGTCTTTTCTTTAACTTTAACAATTTATTTATGAAATATCCTCAATTCTCTCCTCATTTTAATATAGCATTTGTTGTCTAATAATAAAATAATTTTCTTTTTTTTTAATTTATATCAAACCGAAGCCCGCAGAGAATAACGAGAGTTATAGACGAAGTAAAATTGAAACTAAACTTCTGTCAAATTTCCCCTGTCTCCCACAGTCTTTTCTTGAACTTTAACAATTTATTTAAAATCCCCTCAATACTTTAGTACCCGCCGCTCAAAAGCCGTGTTCTAAACACCTCCAAAAAACTGTAGGCGTTTTCATTAGTCCTGAGGCATCTACCATTAATTATTTTATTTTTTGAAGCAAGAGAAAGAAATGTGCTGGATTTTTGTTGCCGTTGCTTTTTAAGTATTATCCCAGCTAAGATTTAGTAATTTATTTTGAGGTACCACATGCCAGGCAAAAACACAAAAAGTCGAAAGAGAGTGAAAAATATGCCGAAATGCTAGGATTACCAACGCTTCCTACGACAAATTTTCTCACAGAGCCTAGCCTGGAGATGGAGTGCTACACGCCCTAATTTCAGCTATTTTTTAACGAGACACATTGACTATATTCCTGCTGTTGTTGTTGTTGCTGTTGTTGCTTTCTCGGGGCCTGCACAGAAATTTTCAAGTGATTTAGTGCAATTAGTATAATTAACACAGCGCGTAAGACGAGACTAAGGCGACATCTGACAATGACAATGACAATGAAAATGTGCGCCACATGTCTTTAACCAACTCTGAGTCTCTGAATCTCAGAACCTGAAACTCAAGCTGCGCCCTGAGCCAGAGGAAAAGGATGCTTAAGCCGACATGTGTTGCCGCCTTAAGTAGCAAATGATGCTCGGGCGAGAGTATCGCTCGTAAGTGAGCAACGAGCTCAGCTCAGTGTGAATTGCCAGAAATCATTTGCTCCATTGTCTATTTACGTCCTGTAGGGACAGCTCAAGACAGCGAAAAAAAAGAGGAAGAAGGAATTGAACAAATAAATACATTGAAAGTGAGAGTTGGCAAAGGCCACGGGATTAAATACATATACGTGTATGTGTAGGTTAATTAAATGGGAATTGAATTGATACTTATGGGTGTGAATCTTGAAAGGGATTGTAGATGGAGCGTAGAAAGGTTAAGAAAACAATTGACTTTATTTTTTAAATATAAAAAATAATAGTAAAAAACTAATATTAAAAATATATAGTGAAAAAATTAAATAACTGTAGCACGCACTATGTATAATAATTATTATTTAATTTTACACATAATACAAATAAAAATTAATTATAAATACAATAAAGTAAATAAATATCATTAAATACAGTACATATTAAATAAATAAAATCCTAATTATTTTATTATTCAAATAAATATACACATATAAAAAAAAATCAATTAAAAAAAAATAAGTAAATAAATTTAGATGAATGTAGCACACATATACACTAGTTATTATTATAATAAACAGATAAAAATGTAAATAAATAAAAAATAATATAAAAATATTTAGTTTATTTTATATAATATTGTTATAATTTATTTGTTTTATTTACATAAGCTGTATAATTTAAGTAGACTATTATTAGCTTAACAAAATATGTTTCTAATAAATAATTACTAAAATAAATAATTACTAAAATGAATAAAATATAATAAATAGTATTTAATATAAATTATACATATCAATTATTGATAAATGGAATAACAGAAGCCACGAATATTTATTTTTCTTTGTTTCAAGAATAAATATTTATTATTACTTACTAGAGCATTATATAGACAGCATAAATTGCAAAATCATAACATGTTAATTAAATATTTCAGTATTAAACCTTTCGCACTACCTATAACAATTTATCGACAATCGAATGAAATAAAGCAAACAACAATTAGCTGAAACTCAAAACTTGCTCCAACAACTTCGACGCAGGCCCTAATAAAAGTTAATAATGAAACACTGCAAAACTGGCAATTTTGTATGTTGAAAGCTTTGCATAAATGACAAAAAATTCCCGCTGGAATGTCGTTTTAGTAAAAACATTTCGAAAGATATCCACTCGAAATGGGGCCAATGCAAACAATTGCATAATTGGAAGCGCTGGCCGATACGTACGAAGCTTGTCATTAAATAGTTGACCAAATTGCAGCAGTCATGAGTCAGCTATGAGGCACAAACAAGCAGCATCTGCGTGTGTGTGTGTGCGTGAGTGTGTGCGGCATGTGGAACGCAAGTTTCCTGTGCGGCACAAAAGTCAACACTTTAGTGCAATTCGGAGCAATTAACATTGACAGTAAATATGGAATTTGTGCATCGGCACTGGCCCCCCAAAAATGCCTACGAGGCATAGGTAGCTCAGGTGGCCCAGGTAGCCCAGGTAGCTCAGGTAGCTACACCGGTAGCAGCTAGCACAGCAGCATCGTGCCAACAAAGTCAACTTCATTTGCAAGTCAAGGCTGACAGGCGGAGGAATTGGCAGGCAGAGGCAATTGCGACACATCAGCAGCATTCATCAGCATCCAGAGTGAATGGGGGCTACAGGATGTTACAAGGTTGTAGATTGGAGTCGGCTAGCAGCAGCCAAGTTTAACATAGTTGAAATGTTTTTCTCCTGCACAGGCCTCTCAGTAACTGTGCCCTGTTTGAGAAGCAGCTTGCCTGGGAGGGGTCAGAGTCTCAGCGCCAGCGCCAGCCCAAGCCCTCCACCCTCAGTCCAATCCCTAGTCCTAGTTCAGGACGTGTGCGTGCTTGTCAATGACAACTGGAAATTAGTTTAATAGTCCAACTGAAAGCAGCTCCATAGGTAACCACAGTGAACAGAAAGAGACAGAGACATACATATATAGAGAGATAGAGAGTGAAACTCACATAGTCAAATTTGTTATTCTTATAGTTATGCTATTATTTTTTAGGTACACACAAATTGCTGTCAATGTGCCATGGTTCAATACCAAATAAACATGATACGTGCCACTGTTAAATTAAGTTAATAATATGCCGCCCTGATGGCCATAATCAAGTAGATAAAACTATATTTTCATAGCGTATAAAACAGCTCTATTCACACAGCCAACACCCCAATTACAGCTCCAAATCTGATTTAATGACATATTTATACAGCTGATCGGAGTTTATTTATAAACGAAATTGTTTTGTCGTTAAGGATATCTGCTTTATCATTGTCTATATATATTTTATAGAGTTTAACAAAAAAATAGAGCAATTTATTATAGTTAGTATTAAAATTTGAAAAATTAGTATTGTTAATAAAATGTATATTTTTCTAAGCATTAGTATTATTATTAGTAGTAATATTAATATTATCATTTTGATGATGCATGGTACGAGTATAAGTATCAGCATTATTATTATTATTAGTATTAGTATTAGGTATCATTATTATGAGTATTAGCTTTGGTATTACAATTAGGATTTTACGTATATAATTATTAGTATTAGTATTTGAATGTACTAAGTATTAATATTGGTATTTATTATGAGCGTAAGTATTAGTATTATTATTATTAGTATTATTAGTAATAGTTAAGTACTATGTTTAGTATTAGTAATTAATAATATTGCTAGAATATATATAATTTAGTATTTCGTATTTTTATTAGTATTAGAATCAGCATTATCATTATTAGTACTCGTATTTTTATAAGTATTATTATTTGTATTAAAATTAGTCTACATCTGAATATTTTATGAGTGTAGGCATAAATATTCTATTTATTTTAGTTTTCATTTGAACACTAATAATTATTTTTAATTCCGTTTTCCATTTCAAAATATATTTCAAAATCAAGTCTATCAAACTATATAGACCCATCATTCAATATATAATTGGACGACAATAGCTAAGCAACCAAAAACACATCGTCTAATCAAATTTATAAATAAAGGAAATCTAATCGCCTGATAGACTTAGGGATTTGTTCCCAAAAACCACCCGCCAGGCAACAATTTTAAACTGAAATGCGCAATGAAAATCGTGGACATCAAAAGCATTTCCCAGTTAATAAACCGTATTGAGGAATTGTACAGGACGATGCGCACTATACGATGCGGCAGCGGCAACATTATTTATGGCATTATATGCCAATAAGATGAATGCTAATTTAGTAAACGCGTGGAGCAGAAAATGCGACTGGACAGATATGGATTGTGGATTGTGGAAATGCGTTGCTGTGTGTACGGCGGGCGCGTTTCGTTTTTAATCCAATTTGCATATAAAATGACAGAAAAGCCCGCTAAATGCAACCCTTAATAAGTCACCAGGGGACCCGAGCGGTGGTCGCTTTACCGAGCACTTGAAAAATATTGTGTAAATCCCAAAAGCAGGGCCACCACCAACTCCCAACCCGGCCATAGATGCTTCCCATCCACCACTTTACAATTGTCAAGGTTGGGTTTACAAATTCTTGTTTTTGCTTTTTTTTTTTTTTTTGTTCTCCTGCCTTCCCCTATACCATTGTCAACTATAAATATGTCAAAGTTTCTGGTTACCATGGCCCATTGGCCGCCCTCAGCTTTGCGAGCCAAAAAAATATATATATGTATAAAAAAAATTCTTTAAGTATTGTCAATATTAGTAAATATTAAAAGTATAGGGTGGCACGGCAATTGCCGGGGGTGGTTATACGACTGCCTAATGAAATGCTAAATTTTTGTAAGCCGCAAGTATTACAGCGTGCGCATTACCCTTCTTATAAGGCATGTGCTCTACATGGCTCGACTGCCGGCCTGCCAATTTTTCACTTTTCTCTCTCGTCTGCAACGTGTGTAATTTTTTATTAAAGACATTAGTCAAATAAGTGTGTGTATACATATATAGGAACGATATCTGGCTCTCATATAGCGCCGCCGGCCATTTCATCTAAAATTGCAAACGCCCAGGCCCTGGCCCAGTGCCGAGTGCCGAGCTGCGTATGGCGAACCCACCCGAGCAGTCGCACAGTGGAACAGCGTGTGCGTCATTTGTTACATTTATTATTGTATTTTTGTGCATACCCTAGGAAGTGTGTGTAAAGAGCGTATGGCAGAGATTGGAGATTTTAAGATGTGTAAGTAAATATCATATGTAAAATTTACTTAATTTTCTCACCTCATATTTTATTCTTATGAGCAATCTCAGAATTAATAATATATTCTTGAGCTAAATGACTTTAGGAATGCTTAGATTAAAGAAAATTTGGTATTTAACTTGTACATCTAATATTTTAAAACATATTTTGGCAAAAGCTTTTTATTTCTATGAAAATCATAGAAAAACTTTTTATTTAAAATACATACACTCCTTTTACTCGCATTTAAAATTTTATAAATTTCGAAAATATATTCAAGTCTAAAGAGATAAATATGGATTACTTAACACTTGCTAGAATTATAAATATATGCATATGCATGATGCATGATGAGTATGATTTAATATAATTTAATATAATATAATATTTATTAGATCACACCTTAGATATTCCAACAATTCCAGGGCATCTGCCAGTCTATCTATCCCCGCTTGCCATCACCTTTTAATGTTGTTCTTTATGTTTTTTCGATCTAAACGGATTTGGTTACCCGGCGCTGTTGTGCGCCCTGGAGAAAATTAAACTTTTCGCTTCGCTTTTGTGCCAAACACAAAAACATTTTATGCACTTATGACACTCGCAACGCCTGCTGCACCCCCTACCTCTACCCCTACCCCTCACCCTCCCACTACCAGGCGCTAGCCACCCTGCATACAGCCCTTTTTGTGGCACTGACCGAGCCCAGTTTTTATTGTAATCATAGCTGTGCTCTATATTGGCTTCATTTTTAGTTACTCAGCTGTTCTTCAGTTTTTCTCTGCTTTCAATTTTTTTTCGCCTTTCATTCGGCATTTGAAGGGCAGTTGCAACAAATGTTTGCTGGGGTTAATGTTCCGGGTGTGTGGGTCGGTTTCGGATGGGCTGCGTATCGTATTATTGTTGTCACGTTTTTCCCATATTTCATAAATTCGGGCATATTGCTAATTTGTGCTCTAAATTTGTGCGCAAATGCGAAAATATTTGGTTAGAGCTCATTTCGCTTGCTTTTTATTGCATTTATTGGTTTCTATTTATCAAATTGGATTTTCGTATGGCGTTGGTTCAGACAGCGCGAGCTGCAGCTTATTTGTGCTTATGCGATTTTGTGGCTGCATTGCGGACTTAACCGAGATTCAAAGTTGGCAAACATTGCTAATCCCCGGGTCAACAAGCAACAGACTTTGCTAATGGCAAGCGTATCTCTTCGAATTATGAGGATAATATCACAGAACTTAGTTTAAAGTCTATATGTGTCGTGAGTGCAGTTTTAGGGATATACATATAGAGAGAGGGAGTGTGGAGTTGCAAGAGATGCAAAGAAAGAGTGAAAGTCTGTAAGAAATAAAAAATCGGAGAGAATGAGAAACACAGTCAGATACAAAGAAAGAGAAAGAAAAAGAGAAGGATTAAAATGAGGATAGAAATGAGGCAGTGTGAGAGAGAAGGGAATAGAACGAGAGCGTAGAACTCGAGAGTGAAGTGGAAGGGAGAGAGAGAGAGAGAGAGAGAGAGGGAGAGGGAGAGAGAGAGAGAGAGAGAGAGAGAGAGAAAGAGAAAGAGAGAAAGACAGAATCATGGGCGGAGTACAGAAAGAGAGAGCAGAAGGTAAAAGGTAGAGAAACATTAGAAAACCGCCAAAAAGGGACTCAAGCCAAATACTTTTAAAAATTTCTTAATAATTCCTTTAAAAGCTATTTATAGCGTCTTTCTTTATAAATGACTATTATATTTCTAACTAGTATTTTCTTATTTATTTATATTTTTCTATGTCTAGCATGCCGGCTCTGCTCTATGCTTTATATGTTACCTTTCACAATCTTCAATCTTTGGTGAAGGCATAGCTAGAAGAATTCCTATATAAATTGAGGATAGTCTTTACGGATTGCCCAGTGTAGCTTAGACCGGCTGTCTTTACAATTATAATGTTAAGTTTGCATTCACTTTTTACATTTTTAGACATACATTAATCTATCCCTCATATATTCAAAAATCCCAACGGCCTAGCCGTTTAACATTTGCATTTATGATACGTTCTAAAAATATTTTTATTCCACAATCTACTTGACTGTTAGTCAAAGGACTTTAACACTTCGTTTCCATAAATTTCCATGAACTGACGAACTAAATACTTGAGTTCCTATAGTCGTATCAATATCATTTGCAGCTCAAACTCCAACTCCTTTTTGCAATCTGTAATAACAAAAGTCTCAAACGCTAGGCAAGCGGCTACTCCGCAACCCCTCGCCGCGCTGACCGAGTGTCTGTTGATTTATGCGGCTGGAATGTCAACGGCTTCTAAGAATGCATCGATCTATTGCATTCCATGTAAATGACGTTCCCCCACTGACAGAGAACAGACGACAGACGACAGGCGCTGCATGTCCATTGACAGGACAAACGGCTGGAGGACTGCAGCTTGCATTTCCTGCACCTTTTTCCGTTTTGTTTGATAATTCATCCACCGGGCCGAAACCATTCTATGCCTATTTGACTGCCTGTCACAACAGCATGTTAATGTTCCGGGCATATTAATGGCTTTTCGACATTATCCTTTTGCCACATTGTGCATTGTTCGATATGCATTTCTATAGCTGGTTTTTCTGATATTATAATATTATTATTATCATTATTGAGGTTTTCATCCGCTGCATCCTCTACTACCTCTACCTGGCAGATAGTACACAAATTTGTTTGGCAACCCTGGCACAATACTTCAATACTAATCTTCGAATCTTGAGCCTCGACAACTCTTGTAACTCGATGCGTTTGTGCCATTTGTCAAAGGGCGCAGCGCACACGGCCTCAGCTTGTAATACTAAACCCCAAGGGGCGAGAAAGGGAGAGAGAGATGGAGTGAGGGAGAGGGAAGGTAGCCCTACCCCATGTGAATAGCCTACCCCTACCACACAGAAAGTGCGTGTTTCCAACACTTTGTTGCAGATTTTGTGCATTTATCATGCATGTGGTCGTCCGTACGCGAGAGTTTGGGTTTTCGCACAAAAGGGGAACTGGATGCGCGTGCCAGAGCATGTGGTTTGGGTTTTAGTATTAAATTGTTTTGCGGTTGCTCTGATAATCAGACAATCGTACAATATATTTTATTGCTGCCTCCACTCCACTCCACCCCGTCAAGAAACGGCTATTCACATTCGTCCGAAAGGTTATTCACATTTGCTATTTACTTAACTTTTGCTTATTTATAATTTAAATGAAATATTTGCAGACAATTTCGGGGCCATCCGTCAGACTAACTACGGACATTTACAATCTAACTTACGGTTAATCGGTATAGCATTCCTATTTATAGCTGACATACACTGAAAACAATTTGTTGAGGAATTAAATTACAAAAAATTCTGAATCTAAGGAATTTTAACTTTAAGTTTAGGCTATGCTATAAATTATCATCATATTAGTTCAATGACGACGAATTCTAATCCAACACTATAAACCTGAAATATTCTTCTATAACAGTTAAGTTAATCTTTGACTACTCGATAGAGTTTTTCCGTTTTTCTATATCTTTAAAGCACTCTACCCTAAATACTTTGCAACTCACTTGACTTTCTCACTTTTACAATTGACTTTTTGATTAATATTTTGGACTTAAGCAACACTGAAAACTGTAAATGACCCCACATTTGTTTGCTTTTAGCTGCACTCTACTGCGACCGTTATTGATCATATTTTTGGCCGAAGACTTATGGGCCAAACCTTTGGCCAGTCGCAAGCCTCAAACGCAGTCCAGGCAGCTGATAAATTTGGCACTTCACTTTGCTAACTGAGACATCGGCAGGCAAATCAGAGTCTGCCGCCGCGACCCGCCAGAGAGCAAAGCAAAGAAATATAGCAGCAATGCATACGTCATTTAACCCCTTTGCGCCATATTTTTCATAAGCCGGCCCAGTTGGCGGCTTCTGTGTTTGGGTGCGTCGGCTAAGGGGCACTGCGCCAGTCTTATCGAGAAGGAGTACTTTGATTTTTTGAGCTATTATGTAACATTTATTATATGAAATTTTTTTATTTTATTTTATTTTTTTTAAGAGTGTAGCCTACAATTTTTGTTTGGCTGTTGAATCAAGAATTGGAAGAATATAAATAAATAATACATATTAAAATAATAAAAAAACAAGTGATTTTGAATTAATTGATGACAATGATTACAAATATCTTATATTATTTATTTATATATGTATTTCATATATTTATTTTCATTTAAATATATATAAAGATACTTGTTTTAAGTAATTTAATTTGTTTTTTTTTTTTTTTTGTTATAAAATGTATTTATTTACAGTTTAGCGCACCGCTACCCAATTGGTAACTTAGTCTAAATAGATATTTACAAAAATTTATTTACTTAAAAGCATATTATTATTAATATTATATGCTATATTTTTGTCAATTCTGGAGGTGTTAAATATACACTGACAAGCAAATCGATAATATGTGTATAAATATATTTGTTAAAATATTTAAGTTCCTAATCAAAATTTGATTTTGAATTTTCCAATAAAAATGTAACATAAATAAAAAAAATTTAACTATTATTACGATTTAATTTTTTATATTTTATTATCGTAGTTTCATTCTATAGAAAATTCATAACTTTCATAGTATTTATATCAAATTTACTTAAGCATACCTTTGAAAGAGTATTTCCAGTGAGCCTTTTCAAGTTTCATTTGCTTGTTTGTTCCATTGGCCTGACAAGTGTGCTAAATTTGAAAGGGGCCAAAGTATGCGTCGTCTGATGCTGTTGATAAAATATATCTATATACATATATGTATGTAAGTACATATGTATTTATTTGTTGGGTGGGTGTTTCCGGGCCGGCATATATAGAGACATTTATTGATAGATAGCAAACGCGCATCGCTTGAACCCTTTTACATTTGATGAACGTATCGAATTGCCCATATTGCCAAAAGAGCCCAAAATTTATGGGTCTTTGATTTATTTTAACTTTTAACACGCCCCAAACAAATGCTGCCACCGAGGCTCAGGGAAATCTGAACGATACAGCAATGGGCATATCGAATTCTATTGGGCAGTGAGACCTTACAGGGAATGGAATATATTTCAGATGCAAAACATTGAGTTGGCCCGCTGAACTTAATGCCACAAATCTTCATTGCTTTTGGGGTGCCTGAAAGTAAGAAGTGAAAGCGAAGAGAGAGAGAGAGAGAGAGAGAGAGAGGGAGAGATAGAGAGAGAGAGAGGGAGAACACTTGTCGGAGGTGACGAATGATATAATTGAAATTTGAGTTCAAAAAAGGTAATAATGTTATTATTACAGCTTAAATTACTATTATTATTATATATTTTTTAAAATATAAAATTAATGAATTCATGGAATTAATTCATGCAATTCAAGATATTATGGCATTTAATATAATTTTTAAATAATCAAATGAATTGCAAACACATGTTTAAATAGGAAATTATTATTTAAATTAAATTAAAGGCTTTTCAAATCAATTGGTTCAACTTTGCTGCAATTATTCACTTTCGCAATGCTCTATTAAAGAGCAAGTAATAATTCTACTGACTGCATAATACTGGTCTAGACTCCATAATCTGGCTCTTTCTGAAGAGGGAGTCATACTAAATTTTCGCATTTTAAAGATGTGGTTGCAAAATCTTGTTGTAGATAAATTTATTATTGTTTTCCACTTTGCCACGCCCATAGTGTACCTATTTTTCTTCCATCAAGACACACAGCCAAAAAATGTATATACCTTTCCACTTCTTGAACGAGCATAAAGTGTTTTGAACAAGGCTATTTCTTAATAGTTTAGTTATATTTCAATTCTTGAATAAGCTAGTCCATATGCAGGAACGTAGGAGAATGTCAATTGATTTAATGGTCTGGTTGACTATGTTCTCTATAATCTTTGTACAAACACTAAATGCACGAGTGAGTTATTGGAATATGTCTCTGATTAATTCATATTACATCGATTTTCCGATTACTACAGGTTACCCATCCCATGAATTATAAAGCCAGTGTCAACAAAAAAGCAGAACAAGCTATGCAGCAAAGGGATAAATTAGGCGCATATAGTAAACAAATCACTTTGCTTCAGTCTGACATAAATTCTATGCAAAAAAGTATTAATTTTCTGCTTTATCTACTGAATGACAATAAGACTGATCATAGACCGCGCCCACCCAGCTACGACTTTAGTTAACAAGGAATTAATGTTTGATAAAATTCATAAACTCCAGAATCTATTCCAAAATACGAGCTAAGACAAAAAGTGCTATGTATTTGGAAACAAATTAAAATATAACTTTTCTTATTTTGAAATTTATCAAAATATAATCAAGTTGAAAATTGATGCATACAATATTTTTCAAATCAATTAGTTCAGCCTTAACAATAATTAATTTGAAAAAATAACTAAATAAAAAATAACTTATGTAAATAAAATACCATTTCAAACAATTTAGTTCTACTTGAAGTTTTTAATACGCTGGATCCCATGCAGGAAAGTAGGAGAACGTCGATTGCTATCATAGCCTGGGCGGTTTTAATCTCCATACTCATTGTAGAAACAAATAATGCATATGTGAGTAGTTGAAATATTTCAAAAATTTATTCATACTTTCATCAATACTGCTTATAAAGGTTACCTTTCCGATGGATTATACAGGAAAACGCGGATCGTTCTATGGGAAGAAACTAAGTGCTTATCATACCAAAATCAATTTGCTGCAAAATGATATAAACAAATTGGAAAAGAGCGTTAACTGGTTGCGTTATATGCTAGAACAAAAACAACGGGAAAATGAACGGCTTCCACACAGCTCGTTCACTTAAGGAGTAAATTAATGTTTAATTAAAGAAAATTCGGCCAATCAATTATATGCAATTAAATATTGAATAAACTTACCATAAGCTCACCAAAATCCATTCCTTCAATGTATATCAATAAAACATATATGTAAGTATAATATATAAATTTTTTATTCTTATCATATGATTTTTCAAATCAATTAGTTCAACTTCATTACAATTAGTCCATTTCTAAATGCTCTATTCTAGACAGTTAATTTTCTGCAATCGCAACTCGTTTCAAAAGCATTTTTAGTTCTATTCGAAGCCTTAAAGATGCTGGTCTATAAGCGCGAAAGTCGTAGAATGTTGATTGATTTTGTAGTCTGGGCGATTGTCTGCTGCTGTATCTGTATGGAAACAGCCAAGGCAGAGGAAGTGAGTAGTTGTTTAAGTCGTTGTGTAATTAGTTCATTTTGTTATCAATTCTCCATAGATGGCTATAGTACTGAGACCCAAGCCGACGGGTGCCATTCAAGTGTACCTCGAGCAACTAGACGAAACCAAGAACAAAAACGAACGCCGTTTAAACAAAGCAGACAAAATGAATAAGCAAATTAATTCTCTCAAAACAAAGCTAAACGATGCGAACAAGCGTATTAAAGGGCTAAGAGCACAGCTGGCAAGAATGAGTAAAGCGAATTAACTACCTCAATGCAAACATAAACACAATAAATTAACCTATAAATTCACATCAATTTCAGCCATAAACTAGCTCAGCTAAATTCATCCGATTGTGGTGTAGAGCATTTTATCTAAACTCCAAGAGATCTATAGTTCCGATTTCGCATTTAGCTCAGCTCTATAAAATATAGAACCTTCAATATGTTTCCATATATCATTCTGCAGAATCTATGGCTGATGCGATTCCAACTGTTCAGAAGGCTTTTCGAATTAATTAGTTCAACCTGATTACAGGTAGTAAAATTTAAATGCTCTATTATAAGAAGGTTTTTAACAAGCCCGGCTGTTCAGTTCTATTTGCAATTTCGACTACGTAAGTCTATAAGAATTGAACCTATAAAATGTTCAAGGATTTCATAGTCTGGTCATTTGTATTCTCCATGATTTTTGTGGAAACAACAAAAGCAGCACATGTGAGTATTAGTTGAAGTCTTTCTATATTTTCTTTATGTAACTATCCATTGTTGATTAGGAAATAGACAAAGCTGATATATACTTGGCCAAAGTGGACAGCAGGAAGGAACATTGGCTGCAAAGTAAAGTCACTTTACTTAAAAAAAAAGCGGACCAGTTGAGGAAGCAATACCAACTACTAAAATCTCAGTTCAAGGAAAGACGAAAAATGCTGACAAGCCCGAGCAGCCTCAATAACAGTTAATAAAGAGAAAATATTATATATATGTATTCAAAAAATAAATAAATTTATATATGTATATATCATAAGTGTAATATAATATAATGGAATTTATCGGTGCACTCCGTCACGATATTCAAGAACATATTGCAAAATTTGAATCTTTGGTCTGTAATCGACTCAAGAATATCTCTGCTTGCTTACAGTAAAAGAGAGGGTATCAAGGCAAGCAGAGATCTTTTCAAATCAAAAAGTCAAAAAGACTTGTCGAAAAACTCCCAAACAACAAGATCCAATAATTGAAATATTTGTATAATTCTCTGGGAAGTAATGGTTCGGATATTTCTCTCTCTCTTTCTTTTAACTACTCTGCATGCTGGTCTCTTGGCATCTTTAAAGCTATAGAAAATCAGCCGTAACTGCTCATGCCTCTTTTTGATTTTCTGCATAATTATGCTGTTTACCTTAAATCATTCAATTGTGAGCGTGGCGGGCTATAAACCTCACTTAACCCTCCAATCCCACCAGCGAGATCTATAGAGGGCGCCTCAGCTCGTTGCCGCCGCCCTCACTCCGAATCAGGAACTTCGCATCCATTTGCGTATTACGCTTCATTATGCAGATTTCTTGCCGCTCAACATTTTCGCATTTTTTTTTTTTTTTTTTTTTTATTTGTTATTGTTGCATGGCTTGCGGCTTGAAAAAATATTTTTATTTAATTTATTTATGAATGAAATTTACTGGCGAGGGGGTAAAACGGAGTGTGGCAGGGCAGGGCTGGGTATGAAAGCTGCGACGCCTGGTAGGCTGGCAATAAAAGCAATTGCCACACACACACACACACACTTACACTCACGTGGTGGTTGCCCCGCCCCTTTGGGTGCCTACCGCATTGTCACATAGATAAGCCGCGTCTGGCTTAACTCATAAAAAAGTGCCAGCAAAGGATAATAAAACAGCAACAGCAACAGCAACAGGAAAAGGCAAACAGGAGTTTGAGCAAAGGCAGAAATCTGAATGCGTGCGGATTTAAATTTTCAAACAAAAATAAATATTGCGTCGGGCATAAGCGACTCAACAGTCGCCCTGCAGCCACGGAATATATCAGCCCATAAATCAGAGCGCTTGTAATATCCTTTCTTAAGCTATGTGTGGAGCGAAGGGTTTAAGCAAAATTATTTTGGATTAGAATTTTAATGAAAGTGCAGATAAATAGTGAAACTCTTGCCACAGGGATTTGATAAATAAATACATTTAAATGTAGATCTAAATTTTAAAGAATATATAAGCTGAAGAGCGTGATGTTCGGAAATATCTATCTACGTATATGACTTTTTTTTAGCAATCAATAGTTTTCATATTAAAATAAATTAGCTCATTGAATGTAAAACAAAACTTTTATTTACAGCATCAAATTCAAAATCTCGATCAAATTCAAAATCTTAAAATTCTAGGTAATCTACCTACACTATTTCATAGATCTCTGTAAAAAAAACCTTCCATCCTTCTAACCCTCACTCTGACAGATCCTTAGTACAACTGATAAATTGAATATTTCTTCATTAATTCTTATTAATGAAGTGTACAGGGTATACGAGCGCTGATCGAGTCGGGGCGTAAATTTCACGGCCATGGTGGGAAATAAGTCGAGTATGAAGCGATTCACACATGACTCCACAGAAATATACTCGTATTCTCAAATGGTTTTCGTTTGGTTTTATTTTGTTCTCTCTTTCTCTTTCTTGTTACCAATATATAATGACAATAATCAAAAATTCTCAGGCTACCCATTTGGCTTTTGTAATTTGCCGCAAACGCACAAGAATCCGAGAATCCGGAGTGAGCGAGAAATGAATTTAAAAACAATTTGCGGTCGGGCAAACAAAGCACAAAGCACAGCCATGAGGTAAACCGCAAAGACAACAATTAAGCGTTACAAATGATTATGAATAACCATTTCTATCTTTTTTCTTAGACAGTGTTTTTTTTTTTTTTTTTTTTGTTCCTCCATAAGTTTCGTATGTAGTTCTCGTTGTGGCACCTCTTTGAGAGGCTTTGCCCTGAGAAAAACGGAACAGAATCCGACTCGTAATGGAATTTATGCCGCTGGGCTATTTAACTCGTCGTACTTCCCTTTGTGTGTGCACCTAATGTATGCGTCTGTTGATCTACAGAGCACCTCAGAGCAGACTCATTTGTTAAAAGTTTTATGAATGAACACGTTTTGATTCGGTTTAGAGAAGTTACATATGTACATACAGTCGTATGTGTTCTTTTTGGAATGTTGGAGACGTAGGAATGTTACTCTTTTAGTTAATTGCAGTTAGCAATATTTTTAATATATCGTTAAATGATCCATAAGGCTAATATTTCTATTTCACTTTCTCGTAGTAAAGCAACTAAGTTTATTACAAAGAAATACTTTGACTTTTAATAGAATATCATATGCCCAAAGACTAAAATAGTTTCAATGTCGAGCAAATTAAATAAATTATCAAAGAAATCTCAATTGAAAATGTATGCCAGAATATCTGAATATGCCCAAAGACTAAATTAGTTTCAATGTCGAGCAAACTAAATAACTTATCAAAGAAATCTCAATTGAAAATGTATGCCAGAATATCTGAGTTCGCGTTTATACAGCTTTGGCGATCGTGCTACCAAGTGCCCGGCTAGCTCAGTCGGTAGAGCATGAGACTCTTAATCTCAGGGTCGTGGGTTCGAGCCCCACGTTGGGCGAAAGTAAATTTTTTTTATTTTTTTATTATGTGTTTTTTATTTTTTTTTATTTATATATTTATGCATATAATTCTAATTTTTAAAAACTCTTAACTCATATATTTCCTTTAAAAAGGCATGTGATTGACCACTAATGCTTTATTATTATAAAAATTTCCCTTAAAAAAAGACAAGTGCGTATTAATTATACAATTTCATATATATTAGATTTTGGATTTGGTTGTTTTTGCTAGTTTCACAATTATATTCTTATTATAAATTTGTAATAAATTAAAAAAAAAAATTACGATCCGATCCTGCCAGGAGTCGAACCTGGAATCTTCTGATCCGTAGTCAGACGCGTTATCCATTGCGCCACAGGACCGACAACCACCGCGCTGCTTTAAAATAAATTCAAGCTATAAAACATAATTAAATGAGCTGAAGAACTTGTTTCAATATCTATTTTCTCTAATTCATTTTGTGAGTTTATTTTTATCTTCACTGTAAATATTTATATAAATTTCTTTATATCCAATCGTAAATTAATTGTGTTCTTCTATTTTAAGTTATTTTTAGAAATTATTCAGGTTGAGTTTTAAAGATACGCAACGAAATAACTACAAATAATTAAACTGAAAGAAAACTGAAATAATTAAATGAAGAACTTTCTATTAATATGATTTGTTATTGTAAATTGTCTATTTGTTTTCATTTTTGTAAAATTTAAATTGCTTAGATTTAAGCATAAAAATACGCAAAGAATTGGAGTTTAGACTTTCAACTTAATTTTTATGCATTTTTTGTAGACAATTCATGGCGAAATATCCAAGTGAAAGTCGTGAAAGTATTGAAGCGACCTTCAGTAATGTATTCACATTCTGTAATACATACTTCACACATACCCAAAAGCCCATACACACACACACAAACACAGACTGTAGGCAAATATTTCCACACATATTTCTCTAAAAATACGCCGACTGTAATAAAATATATATGCACATTTGTATTTAAACACACACATATATACATACATACTCACATATATATCTAACGGGTCCAGTGTATAGAATTTTGGCCCTCTGCCCAGCCGCAGGACAATTTGTATAGCAACAAATACAGAACAATACTGACAAAAAAAAAAAAACTTTACGCAAAAGCTTGCGCTGGATAAACAACAAATAGAGCAGCATTGCCCCTGCCACGCCCCCAGCCAACAGGCATCCCTGCCCATAGAGCGTTTCGTCTCGCTTTGTTGTTGGCTGTGAAATATTTTTCACATGCAGTAAAAATTAGAGACGTCGGGGATAAACAAATACATTTATTACAAGCAAATACAACAACAAATAAACGAAACGCTGCCAGCGCTGCCTGCGCTGGCGTCGCAGCCGCCGTCACCAGTCACAGTGGCTTTTGTTGCGCGTCAGTCTCGCCGCCGCCGCCGCCGCCGCTGCCCTCCGGCAGGGGGCGCACACACGTGACTTTAAAGCTCATGGGATTACATTCAACGGGGATTTCGGTATGCAAAAAAGCTTAGGAAATTAATGCGCCGAAGGAAATGCATTTAAATAATGTGGTTGAATAGCTGAATGCTTGAGCAGAGGCAGAGCGGCAGAGGGGCAGGTGGAGGTGTCCGCTGTGACGGCCGCTCGC